TCTGTGTGTTTGTGTGTGTGTGGGGGGGGGGGGCAATCTATGTCGACAGACCTGTTGCGCTTCAGAAATTTCACTCACGTTTTCTCCTTCAGGCTCATGCACAGGTATCAGCTACCTGAAGTTTGTGTAAAGCTGTAAAACTGTTTAGTCATGCTCAATTTGAACTTTGTTGATTATGCGTTTATGAATGGTACGATCGGTAGCCGGCCTCTGCATATAAGGAATGATTTGGTTTAGCACGCCACATCATCGGCTGTCATGCCACAAGTATGTGATAGCTGATATGAAGTAAACATTTTGCAATGTCAGCTTGGCCGCATAGTTTGAATCCAAAGGTGACAAAACTCCTCATCCGTTTGATCCTTTTGATTAACTTACTCCTGGACTCACAGAGGTGATTACGCATCTCATCTTTTCAACAAAGAATCCTTGATTAATTAGCTCAGGTAGAGAAGCTTTCAGCAGGTCAGTGAAGTGATAGATGTACACATGAGTGGACAAAGAAGCAAGTCAGCTCTCATTCCTGAGGCCGGAGGCTTCATCGTCCACTAGACTTGAACCACTTTGGAAAAAGGAATCTCTCAGTTTCTGTGTTTTGAAGTATAAAGGTAATAGATTCCTGTTTGAACTAGAGAGGAAGTTTACCGCCATCAGGCAGGCAGGGCGTGTCACCGCATAGGTGCGAGGGAGGGGACAGGTGTGAAGTATGTGTTGATGTTCAGGGAGTCGTCACTCCCTCCTGCATTCCAGCTCCAGCTCCAGCTCACAAACACACCACACAGCCTTGAGCCCCAGCAGACTGTCAACATCCCTCCCTGCCACACAGAGACACAGAGACTGGAGCAGAGACACATTTGCGTCACATTCACATGGTGTTGAAAAAGACTGGATGAAGCTCTAGATTTGCGGGACCGTAATTCCTGGATTTCCTTTAGCACTTTGGATATGGGAGGCAGAGAGGAGGTAGTGGTGACCAGACTCAGGTCCAGCATGCAGTTTCCACACACCAGGCTCAACCGTTTCAGGCTTCGTCCTGCCCAGAGCCCGCTGGGGAGCAAGCGCGTGAAGCCGTCGTCCTCCAAGAAAAAAGCCAGGTATGTGTGATGAGTCAGGAGCGTTTGAGTCAGAGCGGCAGGAACCAATTGATAAAAGTTTTGGTGAAAGTTTGACAGTTGTCTGCGCTTAGAGTGACGATTTTTACAGTAAAAATAAAAGCTCTGACTGTGAACTGCAACATCTGGACATGTCATTGAAAACTGTGTCATTATGGTTTGTGTAGTTTATGCCACAGAGTCTGTGTAAGAACTTTTTTAAGATGATGACATTTATAAATATATGGAAAATGTGGCTTCTGCTGCTGAGTCAGCTGTCTGCAGACCTGTGATCTTCTCAGGCTCGATGTGCTTTATGCATATGTTGGGCAGATTGCGAGCACATGTTGTGGCTTTGGACAGCTGTGTGTGCGGGATTCAGCGAGCCACATGATGCATGAAAATAACACTTCCTTATTAGGAATGGTTCAGTCACACAGTTTCTATCCTGACAAAGCTAAGATTGTTGGCTGATTAGCTGCTAGATGATGTTTATTTGTGTTGTTTTTCAATTTAAAATCTGCTGATCATCTTCTCTCTGCAAGCTTTGATCCCACATAACTTCTGAACACTAAATGGGGATTATCATATAATAGCAATATGTTGGTAAGTGCAGATGTTACTTTGCAAACATACATTTGCTTCTTTTAGCTTCTATGTTTCAATTATTTGCAGATTTTCTCTGATTTGAATGAGTCATAGTAAATGTAATTATCTTATTATCTGCTGGTTGCACTAAACTGGTCAGACGGCAAGAGGTCACATTTTGCTCTGGAGGGTTTCTCTTTCACTTTATTGACTAAATACTCGCTAAGAAAGAATAATCGATCGGTCCGTCTCGTCTGGCCGACATCTGACCCCTTCACTGACTTCACTATCGCTGCTAATTCCAGACTAATACACTGGATCTGTGCATATCTCCTCCCCTTACTCACCTTGCACTCAGCGTCTTGTGCACTTAGGTAATTTCATGGTTGTGATATGTCAAGGAAGAACGTCTCTTTGGAAAAAAAAATGCTGTCATCTGCTGAAATGTTTGAGATTTTTCCAGTAAAATATATGATTGGTTTGAATGAGGCTCACATTACATTGTTTACGTGCTGTATGTTAGAATGTAACCACACTGGTTCAGAGAACAGTAAAAACATTGCATGATCCATTTTACTTAATAACAGTTGACAGGCATCACTGTAATTAAGAAGTAGATATATCATATTTTATGTGACAGTGGCATTTTGCTTTAGTGTACTGTGTTTGGAGGAATATCACTCAATGGGACATTAGTCACTGAACTGGTTTATTTTCTTTTGCCCTTTCTAGAAAAAGAGTTTTTCTCTGAATTAAACTAGTATCTATTGAAACTCTCACATCACAGCCCCCCCACCCAATGTGAGACGCCTTGAAACTGGTTTAACACACCAGAGCACTGACCTGGCTTCAGCCGGCCCGGTCACTGTGCAAGGATCATCACTGATAACATTGCTTCAGAGCCGAAAGCACATTCAGTATTTTTAGAGCTGATACATCAGGCAACTATTGCAATCATTGTCTCTGGTTCACTGGTGCCTTCACACTGGCATTCCTCAGATACAGACCAGTGACGTTGGCATGTCTCTGGAGATGCTGACTGCAGGAATGTGACTGAACTGCAGGCCGATCAAGTGAGTCAGCTGACCACTTCCTGTGTCTGAGAACAGCGGGTCACATTTTTAGTGCTGCAGGGTGTGAGTGCCAGCTGAATGTGTGTGCGTGTGTGCGCATCCCATTGTTGTCAGGGAACAGAATCCTCTGTTGTTGAGTGAGCGCAGAAAAAGCAGAGAGTGTTTTTCCTGCTTGTTTTCATAAAGGAAACTGAGAGCAGACGCAGAAGACTTGTTTTTTATTTTGATTTGAATTGTTCACTTCATTTATTGTCTGCTATTGTCAGTGGGTGGAACCCATGTGTGTGTTTCAGCTGAAAGAGGGGTGTGACTCTTATGAAAACAGATTTTATAATACTACACTGACATCTAGTGGATGTGCAGGGTACCTTTCTTCCAGGCCACATTTCACAAGAACAATAGAGACCCCCCTTTGCGTCGGCTCTCGCCATCTCTCTCCTCACGCCGGCCCTTCCTCCATCCCTCTCCTTTTGTCTCTCCATCCCTCTGGGCTCTCCCCCCCGGCCGACACATCCTCTCCACCGCTCCTTCTGTGTTTGTATGTGTCTTTGTGTCTCTGCTCGTTCTGTTTGCATGCATGCGTGCGATTTCTTTACGTGTGTGTCTGTCTGCACCAGAGACCCCAGCCCCACCGAGATGAGTGTGGAGCCCTGGGCCAGCCCGCAGGACCAGGCAGCCGCTGAGCACCCACACAGCACGCTTCCCGCCCAGGACCAGGAGCAGCACCCCGACAAACTCTGCTTGGACTCCTTCTGGAGCGAGGTGGAGACCATCCGACAGGGGAGTGGCTACACGGACCTGGACTGCACCAGGAGAGACTCCAGACAGTCAGAAGGTAAATACAGCGCTGAGCACCACTGATAGATGCAGATTACATACAAGAAGTCATTATGGGTTTATGTGGAAGAATTACACGCCTTTAATTTAACACATCTGCTCCCGGCATCCTCCCTGAGATGATGCATTTGCCATGGCAACATATCAGGTTTCTCTAATGCAGCAAAGAAGCCCTCATCACCATGACAACACTATCAAACACTCCTGGGCAGGGATGTTTTGTTCTCACAAACCAAACAGCCGTAACATTTTATTGTGTCCATTCAAATCATCTGATTGTCTTAAGTCCACATCTGATGGGTGCATTTGATTTTATGTTAAACAAAGGCTCTTTGTTTCTGTAGTTTTTTTCACTAATGTTTTAAAACCCTTCAAGTCTGGATTTCAGTGTGTTTACCCTTTAGTAAACAAATTACAGTAAAGTTTAGTAGATGGACAACTTGTGCATTAGGAGACTGTTGAGAAAAAGAAAAACACGTGTTCATGTGGGATGTCACTTTGTCACCAAAATCACTAGATTGTGTTTCTGTCTTTCCTCACGTGGATGCTCTTCGTCCTGTCTGTTTACATCCTCGGGGTGTGTGTGTGTGTGTGTGTGTGTGTGTGTGTGTGTGTGTGTGTGTGTGTGGGGTGAGGGTGGGGGGTCACAGAGCTGCTCACAATCTATGCACTTCAGCACTCACGTTTTCTCCTTCGGGCTCATGCACAGGTATCAGCTATCTGACGTATGTGTAAAGCTGTAAAACTGTCATGCTCAATTTGAACTATGTTGGTTATGCGTTTATGAATGGTACGATCGGTAGCCGGCCTCTGCATATAAGGAATGATTTGGTTTAGCACGCCACATCATCAGCTGTCATGCCACAAGTATGTGATAGCTGATATGAAGTAAAAATTTTGCAATGTCAGCTTTGCTGCATAGTTTGAATCCAAAGGTGACAAAAATCCTCATCCGTTTGATTAACTTACTCCTGGACTCACAGAGGTGAGTGGATTTCAGTGTGTAAATCTGTTTCCTGGATGTTGACTGAGTCTTAACTGACCAAAGCAAATCTTGTGTTCTGATTTACTAAATCACTGTCTGACAGGAGGCAGCAGTGACTACAGACTACTTACATATTCTAATGTCTTGATTACTTTTTTTCAGCATAACTGCACAGGAACACAGACGTACTCACACACGCAGACACAAGCATGAACTCTTGTTGCAAACCCTACTGTTGCTACACAATCCAGACATCTAGTCAAAGTTTTATACGTAAAGAAAAATACACCACATCTTGCGCTGTCTTGTTGCTGTATATGACCTGTTTGTATCTCGTGTCTTCTGTGTGTCTCAGAAGGTGAGCAGGAGGAGCAGTGGTTGGCTGACGCTGGTTTGTCAAACCTCATCGGTGAGGACAGCGGAGATGTAGACAATGTTGTGTTGCTGTCCACTCTGACCCGCACGCAGGCCGAGGCCGTCCAGCGGCGACTGGACTCCTACACGCTGTCCCTCCGCAAGAGGAACAAATCAGCGCCCCGCGACGTTCGCGACATCTTCAACTCTCAGGTCAGGACTGTGAAATACTTAATACTGAATCCCTGAGTCTCTGCCACTGTAAGGAAGAATGTTCTGTAACCGACAACGAGGAAAAGCAAAGGACCACTAGTTTTCCAATAATCTACAAAAAGAAAAGAAATTAGAAGGAAATTATTGAAGGGTTTCAAATATTTATGTCGTTCATAATGCTGGGTAACATCCATACATCCGTTTACGTATCACAACTTTACTGTGACATATACATTTACTATTACTGCACTGAAATACAGAGCCTGTCTGGCTTGTAGTACTAGAGAGACGCTATGAAAGTGCCTACCTCCTCCAAGGCTAACACCCTATCTCGTCACGGTAAAGAAAATAAATAAAAAATCCTGGATCTACCCGTTTATCCAGATCTGGGTTCTTCCCTGGGTCATGCCCAGTTGTTTTTGAGTAATCGTGCTGACGGACAGACAGACAAGGCAAACTAACGTCCTTGGCCGAGCTAAAAATGCAGAGAAATGTAAAGCACCCATTTCCCATGTGACTGTCAGGACCCAGTGCGAGACGTCGTATCGTTCCGGTGCATTGTGTGTGTCTCGCTGTGTGCAGAGGGGCTGCCCTGTGACAATAAAGTCAAATCACATGTAAAGGCCACGCTTTGTCCTCCCTGTCTGTCTGAGTTGTCCTGAGAGACGTGTTCTCCTGATCTCTTATCAACCTTTTATCAAAAGAAACAGTCTTCGTCTCCGTGTTCTTCTTCTCAGAGGACAAAGTAAAACACTGCTCCTGTTCCCCGTGACAGAGGAAATGTTACAGATGATGTTTTTAACGCAGTTTGTTGTGTTTGTGACGTGTCGATGTTGTTTCTCACCAGACTCTTCTGCCCGACTCTCAGCACGGTGAAGACCTGGCACAAGACAGCATGGCTTCGGTTGCCAAAACACCACTTTCAGGTAAGAGCTACAAAAGCAAATCAGAAGTAAAACTTTAAATCAGGTTTATAGATCTTTATAACTGGCAAAAGGATTAACTGCAGTTATTGTAATAATCAAAACAAAACTTCAGCCTGTAAGTAGATGTGAATAAACACCAGAGTCTGTGTCATGTTCGAGATGACCTTCTGAAGAAGTGAGGGGAGCAGCAGTGAGGATTTGTGACGAGGGATTTTCTGTCTGCTTTCATCAGTTCAGGTTCATTCACAGGCAGCTCCTGCGCTCTGCTCTGCCCACCCAGAGCTGAGCTCACTTACTACATGTAAAAGAAAAGATGCAATGGATCAATTTTGTCACTGTAAATACTGACAATTGTAGCACTGATATTTTGTTCATGTGACTAAACAACTGCTAAACATTTGAAGGTTCCCTGGCAACAGAGTTCCTCTGCCAACTTTGTTCAGGAACATTTCCTCATATATCTTCACACTTGTTTTTCTTCCCCGTGCTCACTCATGTCATTCAAATGTTCACTTACACCTCAGCAGTGGACTTTAAAAAATAATAATAACTAATTGATTGTCATGTTTTCTGCGTGTATTTCCCGCTCAGCTGTGACACCAGAGCACCAGCGAGGTGCCCCTAAAGAGGAATTCTTCATCACCGACGTGGCTTACTGCGAACAGGCCGTCATCTTCCTCAAACAGGCCAAACTGCCGCAGAACAACAGCCAACGCAGGAAGGAGGACGGGACCCTGCCTGTAAGAAACCAAACACTGTACCCTCTCCTTCTGCTGAGTGACTGTTATTTTAAAATGTTATTTCAGACGAGGAATTTTGGGCATAAAAGTTAAATTGACTTGGGTGTGAAAGTTTATAGAAAAGAGGATTTGATAAGAATGACAGTTTTGTGGAAAGGCAGAAGACCTACACGATGAAGAGTAAAACCAGTTTGGTTTGGTTTGTGCATCACGGTGGAATTTTATCTTTAGTCATGTGAGTGTGTATCTGAGTTGTTATTGCTACTCAGCTCCACTGTGGGTTAGATAACAGGATTAATTTGAATAAAGGAATTAGCTCAAAACAAAAGGAAAGTTCTTTTGTCAGAGATTTATTTTCTTATTTCAGGCTTAAATACATTTAACAAGAAGGAATACAATTTTTTTTAAAGAGGTTAATTGTATGTGACACCTCATGAAGTATCAAACAAGTGAAAAACATAAGCTAACAATTATGATTTATGAAGAAGTTTCCATTTTCTTCTTGTTCTTTCTCCCCTCTGCTCTGCCTTTACTCTCTTCTGCTTTAAACATTGGTTTAATGTTTCCTCATGTTTTTATCTCCTCTCTCCACCTCTCAACTCCATCCCCCTCTCCTCACTTTTCTCCCCCTCTCCTCACTGTCACCTCCTCAGCGGGTGATCTGCCCCAAGTGCCGCCTCGGAGTGACTCGGATCCAAGATCTGTCCCACACCGACATGAAGAAGGTGCGTCAGCTGGCTCTCATCGACATGACGGCGCTGTGCGACCTCCTAGAGCTCGAGGTCAAAAGGCACAAATCGGGCAAGAGGAAAATCCCAGGTACGGTGGCTCAATGAAGAAAGCACACACGTCCTGTAGATTACATCTGTTTAAAATGTGCAGTGTGTTTTTTTTTGAACAATGACTTAAACTGGCATTTTAAAGTGGTTCACCATAAACTGCTCCTCTGCAGTTTGGATGATTAAGGTCAGGTCATTTGTTTAACGAAGACTTATAATTTCATCATGTTTAAAATCTAAATATGCTTCAGCCTCCTTGTACTTTTTACAATGCACTCGATCTAAACTATCACATAAAATTAGATTAAACTATGCTGATATATTCTCTATATTTTGACAACTGCAGGTACTTTAGTGTATGAATGTATGTGGGCACGCCTTCCCACGCACAATAACAGCAGTGATTACACTGCAGTATGGATGTAGGCACATGTGCACGTGCACGCTGTACAAGGACTGAACGACTGAAGGACACTTTGTTTTACAGAGAGCTCTCTCTTCGGGGTGCAGTTGGCCACGCTGCTGGACAGCGATCAGAAAGTGAAGCCCAACACCTCGACGCCTCTCTTCCTGCAGGCGGTGAGAACCCAAATTGCCATATCATGTTACATGACCTCCACAAACCGGGAGCCTGCCGACACGTCGTTGCGATGAAATGACACGATGCATCCTGCTTGTTTTATACATATGTTGATACTCGATGTTTAAGTGTAAAATTAGTTGTCTCATCATGCAGAAAATGTTGTGCTGTAGAAAATATCCATAACACTGGTGAGGTCAAGATTTTTTAATGTGGTATTTGAAGGCAAAATTATTTAATCTACTTTTCACCCCTGACGAGGAGGACGCTAAGTTTTTCTTTGCCAGTTTTTCCTTTGTTCAGTTCATAAACCACAAATCTTAAGATGTAACAGATAATATGATGTGTGCTCTCCATGTAAAATGCTTTGACCACACCCTGTATGTAGCAGCAGTTACTGAGAATAACCAGCAGAGGTGAGCAAGAGATTCTTATCTGCCCACGTCTGCTCTCTGCTAATGTCCCTTTCCCTCTCTCTCTCTCTCTCTGCAGTTGTTGTCGTTTTTGGAGAAGAAAGGAGTGGACTCAGAGGGGATCCTTCGGGTTCCAGGGTCTCAGTCCAGAATCAAGGTATAAACTATGGATCTGCAACGATTCCTGTCACACAACATCAACACTGGAGAAAACTGATTTATCGTGTGTCACCCCTTTCTTTCTGTGTAATGTTTAAAGCAAAGTAAAGAAATTAATGTTTTATGACCTAGAGATCAGACCAAATATTGATACTGTAGAATGTCAGAAGTAAGAAAATCAACACACTTTAGAGTTTAACTACCTTTGACATTTAGAAAAAAAAAACAAGATCCAATGAAACCAAATCAATATGTTTTAAGCTGCAGCTGCCAGGATGCCCTTCATGAGTCTGTGTTTAATTCACCACATGTAGTTGATCGTGAAGACCTGACATCTAAACTGCCAGTAGAGGGCATCATCGAGCACTGAGGGAATAAAACAGATCAGTCAAGTACAGATCATGGAAGTGACAGCAATGAGAAATTATTCTACCCAAATGATATGAAG